GGGGTGTGAAGCGGCGCAAGTGAGCGCGCATGCCTCTGCGTGGTGCGAGGTGTCATAGGTGGGCCCGTAGCGGTTGCGGCCGCGTCTGTGTCGAATAGCTAAGGCTGCGCGCGAGTGCAGCGCGGTCGGGAAAGGGAGCAGTGGGTGAGCCCTGCTGGGTTGGGTGGTCGTGGGCGATCGCAAACAATCGTGCACGCTTCCGCGCGACACGAAACTTTGCAGAGGGGGCTACCTTGGTCTGCGACGCGTTAATCTTGAATTTCTAAGGCCGCACGCAGGTGCGGCGAGGTCGGCAATAGGAACATTGGGCTGCATGGAGCCCTGCTGGTCTGGGTGGTCGCGGGCGATCGCAAGCGGTCACGCACGCTTGCGCGCGACACGAAAATTTGCAGAGGGGGGCGTCGTGGTCGGCAACACGTCAAACTCGAGTCACTAAGGCCGCGCGAGGGTGCGGCACGCTGGGGAAGACGAGGGGGCGAGTCGGAATTGTGCGAAACGTGCGAAGGACGCCGATGACCGAAAGCGGAAAGCGTTCGAAACATGCATAACATACAAAACATACAAAACGTCCGAAGCGCACTAAGGATACTATGGGTCATCAGAACGCTTGGGGGCACGTATATTTCGGGTAATGCGCTGGTGACGCCTCGGTGACGTGACCAGCCGTCACCAGCGCCGTCACCATGCCGAGGTGCGGACCGGACGTACACTCTATATTCAGGCAAGCACAATTTCAAAAGGCCAGTTAAAGGAGTCCCTCTCGTTGTGTACTGTAGTCGTCTGAGAGAGCGCAAGACAGATCACAAAGAGTTGGTGTAATCTCGGCTTCCGTCGGCCGCACTTCGGTGGACCAGAGACCAAAAGCCCACAGAGTCGTGATACAGTACTCGTGTTCCTAACTAAGCAACATCCAAGGTGACGTTTACACAATAATGCTATAAGAATGACGAACTTCCGAAGCAAGCGTACATACACTTCAACTCTAAACCCAGATTGCAAGTTGCCAGAGCCAAAATCACCGCCAGAATCCGGACCCTTCTGCCTGCGAACTGCCAGCCAGCACAGCGTCTCATTATATGCCCTCCGCCCTGATCTCAACTCTGAAAAGGTCCTGCCACACATCCACAGCGCACGCGTCGTCGTTGTCGTCATCTCCGCCTGCACAGGCAACCTCGAACGTCTGCACCGACTGCGACGGCGGCGGACACCCAAACTCCGCGGAATGCAGCCGCACCTCACCCGGTCGCACGTCGAAACTAGAGACGTGCGCCTCGCGCTGGGGCCGAGAGTCGCCCCACGTGTTCGCGTCTGGCGTCGCCTGTGCCAGGGACCACACCTGCACCCGCGCAGCTTTGCCCGCGGCCTCGAGCCGCCGCGTCAGCGTGATGCCAGATGTGACCGCACATCGCGCGCCACGTGGTGTGTCGTGTGGCATGCGGACCTGGACGAGCAGGGATACCTGTACATCATAAACCCAAAACCAGAGCCAGCGATCGCAACGAATGAGCAAAGGACACGTATATATGCGCAATTGCAATGCGTACGGAATTGTCGACAAGGGTCGCTGGCCCACAGGAGGACGGGCGACCGATGCTCCTTGGTGCCGTGGTGATGTCTCCGCTCCTCGATATTCGCGCGAAGAAGTCGGGCGGAGCGTGGCTGACAGGTTCTAGCATACGAGAAGCCGCGTTGTCCAAGGTTGATGGCTGGTGTCCAGGGCGGTAGAAACCCTCGGCAGCCGAGAACATGCCCATGGACTCAGAACTGAAGCGCGTCCATGAATTTGGGTACACCGTGCCAGTCAGGAGGAAGGAAAGGGTGAGGACGGACACCATCCCGCTAAAGAGGAGGAGCCATAGCGGGAGGCGCCAGCGACGACAGTCTGTGTGAACATATTAGGGTCGAGATAAGATGAGCGCAGGACGACGCACAGTTTTCCTCCTGGATGACCGAAAACCCGTAGAGATTCGACTCGTGGTGGCCGTTGCTGGTGTGGTGGTGCAAAGACATGGAAAAGGGGTCAGAGGTGTGTCGCTGGCCTGGCATAGGGCCACTTGTGATAAGGGAAGGAGTGAGCATCTGCTAGTCGTGTGTGAGGGGCGAGGATAAAAAGGACATGCAACGAGTCCGGTGTCGGGGTACGTCAGATTCATGTATGAGCCGATGAGGATTATGCATCTCACATCTCAAGATGCCGCAAATTGGAATTCTTGGTGGAGCTACCGGCGTCTATTCCAATATGCCGATCCGGCTGCGTCGGGTTCGATCACTCGCGTTTGCGCTGTACATATGAGACGAAACCAGGCGATAGGGTTCAATAAGGGACATTTTCGAGCCTTCGAAACAGCGAAACAGACAGCCTCGGTCCATCTGGCATGCATGCACGGCGATACAGTGGTTTTGAGGTGGAGGAGTTGGAGAAGGTTCGCTTAACTAAGTGCCAAGACTTCTGACACATGGATGAACGGTTTCTGTCAGCCGCCGTCTTTCACAAAAGGACAATGAGCACTGCCAGCGGCTGCATTCATATCTGCTCGATATATGCTGTTTGATCCTTCTTTCGTCCTGCATTGGTTCGTACTTCAGTGTTCAGCAATTCGCGAGTCGCGCATGACCACTTTAACTATACAGGCGGGCAGCGAGAAGCGGTACTAACTGAGTCAGTCCGACCTCTTGTAGACCCCTGCTCTCGATCGGTGCTTCTTCACGTTTTTCTTTCTTTGACGCCACCTATCTTGCCTCGGACTCGAAGGCTAATGTACATCGTACCGCGTAAAAAAAACAGAGAGTCGTCACACTCAATTTTGTGCGCCTTGTGCAGGTGCAGTCATCTTTCGCACTCCCACCGCGTGCGGGCCTGAAGCAGAGCCCTAAACTCAGAGGTAACGGAAACCGAGAGACTGCTGAAATTCTCTTCCATATCCTCTTCAAGTTGAAGCTGCAAAATACAAACTCGTACTACTCCGCACTGAGTCATTATCTTACATTCGAGAGGATGTGACACCGCCAGCAATTCATTTCAAAACCCTGTAGACCACGAACGAGGCAACACGTAGAGACGCAAACGGAACCAGGAGAATGAGACCATTTTTTGGGCTGCTTTTAGTAATGTGACCTTTACCATGAGGCGTCTTCGACTATGGCTATCCCAGTCGTCTCAAACCTCCTTGGCGGGGGTGGGTTTGATGAGGCGCCTTCGACTATGGCTATCCCAGTCGTCTCAAACTTCACTGGTGGGGGTGGGTTTGAGGACGGGCCACGATGCCAAAACCTGAATGCTTCGTCATCGTCGTCGTCGTCGTCGACTCTCATCACGCCGATCCTCATCGGCGAGGTTGGGTTTGAGGTCGGTTCACTGTCTTCGTTACCGTCGTCGACTGCGATTACGCCGGTCCTCATAGGCCTCATCGGCGAGGTCGTGCTTGAGGTCGGCTCACGGTCTTTGTCACCGTCGTCGACTACGGCCACGCCAGTCCTCACCGGTGAGGTTGAGCCCGAGTTCGGTTCACGGTTCCAAAGCTCCCTCCGGTCTTCTTGAATGCCTTCAACGTACTTTCTTCTTTCCTCGATTGGTAATGCGCGAAGTTTAAGCCAAGCCTTTTCGATGGCCGTGAGAGGAGGGCTCTGTGTCTCGTTCCTTGTCGGCCGTGACGTCGTCCCCCTTTTTTTTCGTGGGCACATCTTCGAAAAATGTCCTTGTTGGCCACAGCAAAAACACCTTCCTTCGCGTTTGTATCGGATCTTGTCCTGCTCGGTAAGGCCATTCTTCCGCGTCGTCGTGCTCGGGTCTCGCGCCGCCATTTCTTCAGCTCGCTTCAGAACAAGTGCCTCCTCGTTTGAGAGTGGTGGGGCGGTCATGACTTTGAAGATATGACGGTACTTTAGGTGGCATTTGCGGGCGGCTTCGACCCAATCCTCGAAAGATGTAAGTAGGTCGCGATCGACGCAGCACCGCACCAGGTCGGCAGGGAGTCCTTGCAGGAAAAGGTGAATAACGTAGGGCGCGTCCGGGTCGTATAGTGCCAAGCGCGCGAGGAGGCAAAAATCTTGGATGTAAGCGTCCAATTTTACGCCTTCCATCTTGATTTCTTCGATCTCCTTTCGGGCTTTGGCGCGTTCCGCGGGATCGGCGAATTCCATGAGGAAATCATCCTCGAAGGCACTCCAGATGTCTTGTCCCTGGAGGAGAGCTGAATCGTTCGATACTGCGTCCAACCAGCGTCTCTTGCCGGCGACCCAACTGCCCACACGTTCCCCACGGATATGATTGAGGGCGATATTGACTCTCTGGGCTTCGTCATTGACATTGTTCATCATCAAATACAACTGTGTAGCCACCAAGAATCCTCGGCTTTCTGTGCAGGTGCCATCGAATATTCTGGCGTTGCCGCGTAGCACTCTGCTGGCCATTAGGGTTGCGGTGACGGTGGTAGTAACTTTTCCGGGACGGTAATTGGGTTGCGATGTATTGCGGGTCTCTCCAGTCCACTTTTGAAATGTGTAACTATGAGTGTGTGGGCTGATGGTGCTGTGTGTATTTCGCCAACCCTTTGGCGCCAGGGTATAGTATCGATTGGCGATTTAAATAGGAAATGATTGTTGGGTGTAGCCCGGGGATGCAGGCGATCACGAGTAACACGTTGTACTGCAGGGGACTTGTTGGTGTCGACGACGTTAAGGCTGACAGGGCCTCCAAGGATGCGCCCAAGTCGACTTGAGTTGAGTTCGGTGAGAGTGCGACACTCTGATATAGCTCGGAGTGCAGAAGCTCCGAAGGTCCCACCCAAGACTAAGGGTAGGGAGGGTGAATGGAAGACAAAGAAAGGAGCACTCAGTAAGAATGTGGAAGAGACTGGTAAAGACAAAGACAGGTCTGGGGAACCTCAGCTGTGCAAGTTATATAGTAGCAGGTTGAGTCACTAGTATCCCAGGTTTAGTCAGACAGCCCCTATCGTGACAATCGCAGATGCATAAGCAGTCAGAAGAAAAAGAAAACTAGTAGCCCACCGCGAGGGTCGAACTCGCAGCCTTCAGATCACCATGGAATGTGATCAACACCCGCATAAGAGTCTGACGCTCTATCCGATTGAGCTAGGCGGGCGGTGATTTGAAGCAAAGTATTGCCATACAAGGACCTGGGGCGTCAGGTTTCCTTCCGGGGTAACCTTTCGGGGTAAATGGAAAAGAACTTTGGTCAACGATCGTATTTGACACTGTTTGTTGCTTTGTTTGGTAATTTTTGTATGGCCCCCTTGTGTGGTACTGTATCATGGCCGATTTGATTTTGACGGAGAAGCTGCGTGTTCAGGGCCGCTCTTGTCTGGAACTCGGATCTGGGGCCACGGAGCTATACATCTCTGGGATCGATGGACTAAACACGTATGACATCGGTCCTGCTAAACCATCTCTCCACGGGCGTCCAAGTCACACTTCTTATCTTCTCGATAACGGTCTTTTTGGTTAAATGGGGCATGTGAACTTCATTTCCCATTGACGGGTCCCTATCTCCCGAGAATCCTATCACTGCTGCTCTCCTCAGGCCCTCACTCTTACCTCCCAACATGCCCGATCATGAGAACGGCGCGACTGACTACAGGGATGAAGATGACAAGAAACTTGAGGCTATGGGATACGTCCCCTCCTTCAAGCGAGAGTTCAGCAACCTTGCAACGGTATGTGCAACCCACCTTTTTTTCGCCGTTTCCTTATAGGCGTGTGGTCAATTTCGTCCTCTCAGATCAGCTTTGCCTTCAGTATCATGGTATGTACACGGTCTCGCCGTGCTTAAGACCATACCCACTGATATCGGTGCAAAGGGCCTGTGCTCATCTGTGGCGACCACATTCAATACGCCATTGCTCCTAGGTGGTCCTTCTTCAGTACGGCAACATACTCCGCACATATCCGTCTATGATTCTATTAGAATATTCTCAATAGGTAACGTGGTGCTGGATTCTCGGAGCGACCATGTGTTTCACCCTAGGCGAGTTCTTTTCTCCGTCTTCTTTACTCCACTGTTTTGATGCCCGTATACAGGGGCGTCGATTGCTGAAATTGTCAGCGCCTTTCCCGCCTGCGGCGGTTTGTGCGTAATTACTCGGACTACGGCTCACCCCCGCTCAAATAGTCATGTGATAGATACACCGCGTCCGCTAAGCTTGTGCCAGCGAAACAAAGGCCCATTGTAAGTACCTTCTATGTCTACACAGTACTTGTCCTCATCCTGGTGCAGGTTGGCTGGCTTGTTGGCTGGCTCAACACTCTTGGCCAAGTTGCTGGGCTTGCCTCGACAGAATACGGACTTTCGGTCATGATCTGGGCTGCCGTCGTCGTCGCCAAGGATGGAGACTACGAGGTCACGTCTGGCAAAATCGTCGGCCTTTTTACTGCGCTATTGATCTTCAATGGGATCTTGGTACGTCCAGTTCAGGGCTTCCAATTGGTTAAACAGCTCCTCACGTGTATGGTTGCGGACCATCTGTGCTCGCGTCATGTAGAACTCTTTTGCCACGCGTCATCTCGCGACTTTCACGAAGGGATTCGTATTCATCAACCTTGGTGCATCCACCCGTGCGTGACAGCAGCTCCATCTTGCCATCTTGTTCGTAGCGATAACCACCATACATAGTTATCATCATCGTCTTGTTAGCGACGACCGGGCGGCACAACATGCACTCCGCGAACTATGTGTTCGGTTCGGATGGTCTCGTCAATCAGACAAACGGATGGAACGGCGGCTTGGCATTTTTATTCGGACTGCTCAGCGTGCAATGGACGGTTAGATATGATTTCCATTTCCCAACTTGCTTGAACTGACAAGCTTGTCCTGCAGATGACAGTACGTTCTGGGTTCAAGGTCTCAGATTCCTACATCTTAAAAGGTTTGAACAGGACTACGACGCAACAGCGCACATTTCGTACGTGATCTGAGTCTTTGGCTCGGCTTATCTTATGTCTCTATAGGGAGGAAGTCAAGCGTGCTTCCTATGCTGGTAGGCATACAGTAGACCAACTTGTAGCGCTCTACTTATAGTTTAATTCAAGCGCCAGCCGCTATCGTTATCGCTGGTGAGTAATACGTAAGGAGGCCATTCTCTCGGTTCTCAAGCCTGCGCTGTAGTTATAGGGACCGGTCTCCTTGGCTGGCTACTCAACATCGTGCTGGTGCTGTGCTCTGGTCCTTTGTGAGTTCTGGGCCAACTCTTTCTTTAAATCGTCCGATGACATCACCTTCAGAGGGGACCTCCCCGGTCCTTCTGGGTCCGCCTTCCTTCAGGTACGTGATGGGTTTTTTTGTGCCTTCCATGTCTTATCGATATACCCCTAGATTATGGTTTTACGCATGGGAAAACCCACGGCGTTGTTCCTCTGGGTATGTGCCGTAAAAACGTTTATTTGGGCGTATCTGGATTGTCTTCAGACACTTGTTTGCCTCACGGCCTTCTTCGTTTGTCAAACTGCTCTCCAAGCGTGCTCCCGGATGGTTTTCGCCTTTAGCCGGGACCGCGGTACGACTTTCCCCCCCCTGTGCCGATACTCACTCACCCGCCCATGCAGGTTTTCCCGACAATGGTTACTTCGGTCACATTTCTAAGTGGACACACACACCCATGCGTGCCATCTGGTTCACTACGATCTTCAGCATCCTCCCCGGGTTGTTGGGTCTTGCCTCCCCTGTTGCAGTAAACGCAATCTTTTCACTCACCGCTATGGCCCTCGACATTTCATACATCATCCCGATAGCGCTCCGCCGCATCTATCAACATCACCCAGAAGTGCAGTTCAAACCCGGGCCGTTCTACATGGGAGATGGATGGTTCGGATGGGCGGTCAACATCAACTGTATCGTGTGGACGCTATTCGTCTCGGTCATTTTCTCTTTGCCGACATATCTGCCCGTGACGAAGGACACGATGAACTACGCGTCAGTGATTACGGGCAGCATCGCCCTTCTAGCCATGTATGTGATCACGCACGCTTCCTTTCTGGCGCTCTTCTGAAGCTGACTTGCGTGCCAGGATCTGGTACTTCATAGAGTACGTGGTGCTCTACGAACAAAGTGCACGAACAGTGCTGACTTACTTCCGCAGCGGTCGCCGACACTACCATGGACCTCATGCATACATAGGGAAAAATGCCACGCCGGCTGTCACCGCCGAAGGAGACAGCGAGAAAGACGAGAAAAGCTCTGTCGACGGCAAAGGCGAAGGAATCACGGTTTCACGAGGGAGCCACGTTGACCTTTAATCGGGCAGGCGAAGAAGAACGCCGCGACGTGCGTAGAGTAGATATCATGCACGGTTGCGGTGACACTGCTAGGGAGATGTATACAGTACTTGTGTCATCGTTGAGTTGTGATTGTATTGTTACGAACGATACTCGCAAAACGTAATCCTGACTATGACATTTAAACTTTCAATCTGATCAAGGGAAGCACGTGAAAACGAATGTCCACGAGCGTAACTTATGTTAGCGCAATAAGTCGCACCTTTGACGGCGATCCCGAGCCAGGGGACGTCTGAAATGCAAAGACCCACGGTATTGGTGTGCTCGCGAACAGGCCCTGGTCCGTTGGTAATGACGAATGCATACACAATAAACAAGCCCATCCGTCTTTCATAACCACCTCCGCGCGACCACGACTGCGCCCAGAGCGGCAGCGAACAGGGCGAACGCACCAGGAAGCGTAGCGCGCGGCGCCGACGCGGAGCTGCTGCCGGGGCTCGTCGCGCTGAGTGAGTCGCTGGTCAGGAAGACGAGCGCGAAGCCCGGCGCGGGAACGGACACTGAGCACGTGTTGGCCGTCGTGTCGCACTGCACCGTCGTCACGTTCAGGTCCCCGACCAGCCGCCCGTCCGACCCGAAGTTGTTGCCGAACGTCTGTGCATCCGTGAGACCTTACGCAACTTAAAAGAAATGAGCCCCGTACCTGGCCCGCCCAGGTGAAATTAGCCTTCGCCGAAACAGAGTCGGCCAAGAGGTATCTATGAGACAGGACGTTTAGAAGCCGCTCGTGGGAAGGAGAGGAGTACCTACTTGACTTGCACTTGCGAAGGCGTCGCGTTGCTCTGGCCTGTGGTACCGCCGCCGATGGAGATCGTGGCGGTGTATGTTGACGCGCCAGTCGAATCTGTTACAAAATTGAATAGTGCCACTTTCGTTGGTGCGCCGTTCTCGTATACGGCATAAATCGGAGTGTTGATGTTCGACGTGAGATCAACCACCTGAGACGTATTGTGCGGTCCCAACACTTCGGCCATGACCAAAGCAGAGTAGTAGACCGGGCCAACGGTCCATTGGTGGAACGTGGATTGGTCGGTCGGTGGTGGGGTAAACGGATTGTAGTACGCGTTCTGTCCACCGATGTGGAATAGCGCCCCGGTAAAATTGCTGTACGCCATCGTGAGCGCCCAGTCGAGCGCCCAAAGCGCTGCACCGAATGAATTGGAAATTCCTGGGAAGCCGGAACACGAGGCGGTGTTGGTCTCGAACATGACGAACGGCTTCCCGTTCTGAACAGCAAACGCGGTCGAGTTGGTATAGTACGAAGCCATGTTCGTGGAAGCATTGTGCTGCAAATAATTAATGAAGATGTCCTGCGGATTTTGCACGACTCCACCGCGGGAACGATATACGGCGGCGCAATTGTCGTCAGGGTATCTGGAATGGAAGTGAGAAGCCCCGACGCTAATCATGAGGACCGGGTACTTACCGCTCGACTGCAAGACTGAGAATACTGCTTGAATAAGAAGATACGATGCCAGTATCCCACACGCTTTCTGGGGTCCAGGACGTTTGAACGCTAGGAACGATGAGTAGATTGTCCTTTTTGGGGATCAAGGGATCGTTGGCGATTTGTTGTATCAGGGTTCCTACTTCTCCGAAGTAATCAACTGGTGAATAAGTCTGACACATTTTATCAGTTCCTACTTCGAGCTTTGACATGTAAAGTGATCTGACCGACGGCCGGTGACCGTGAGACTTCTTCCCGTAAAGATCGGGCTCATTTCCCGCCTGGAAACCTATCAAGTAGTCGCCAAGGATTCGCTGTCCATTTTCGACGATCTCCAGGGAAAACGGCGTTGTGTTGAGGAAGGGGAT